TAACAATTTAAAGGTCAGAAAGGGACTTTAAAATCATTTTCTCAAAATATTGTTCAATTTACTAAATAGAAGCAAACTGAACCACGCTATATCTTGCATTGTATTGCTAGTGAGCACAATATCTCAAGACATAAAATAACTCCACTCCAAGTTTTCTCTCGAAAATGACACATAAGCTAAGCTATAAAGTAGATGCAGATAGCATCAGACGTGGCAATGAAAAGGGTTGGAAATTTGACACCTAACTATTACAACTAAATGCTCTCTATAATTATCTAAAAGAAAAAAAGAATAAGAAAAAAAATGTTCAAGCCAATGCATGCTCTCCATTTTTCCAAAAACCGTAACAAAAGAAAATTTTCCTGCCACCAGAAAGTAAGAAAGAGATGTAGAACTTCACTCGTGGCAATGGAAGGGGCTGCATGTTTTACACCTAATCAAGATAACCAAGATTAGTTTTGACTTCCCCTCCTATAAAGGTGGAAGCCAGTTGCTCCTAGTTTACCAAGATCAGCTATCTCTGAGTTTCTTCGATCTATAGTAGTTTTTCTGTTGCAAAAACTTGAGTCTTAAAATGGGACTCCATCTCTCGCAGATCTTTGCTTTTTCTCATTGTAAGAAAGCTCTCTAATGAATTGAATTTTCCTTATGATTTATATTAATTTCGTTTTTAATAATGATGGTTTAACTTTCAACAACTGTTGCAGCTCACACTGGTGGTTAGGCAAGCCATGTTGGTGCTTTACCTTTACCACCTCAACAAGTTAACTGGAATTCCGTTCTGCCGGGCACACCGATGCCAAAAGCTCTCAGTGAACTTGTCCAACCTGGTTTGTGTTTTTATCTACAACCTCTAATCATATTCGACCATAAGCTAGCTTCTTCACTAACATGCATGATGCATGCATATCTCAGTTTAACTTCTTAAATTTGTAGGATCAGCGAAGAACTTTGATCGTTACGACAAACATGCCGAGGAAAACGTTCATATCTTGTATAACCATGGGGTGTTAAAGTTTTTGGATCTGCCCGATGGGTCCACTCTAACAATATCGATACTGTCCCCACTTTACCACCTGTCCAATCCGTCAGGTGGGGTTTTACCACAAAAGGCCTCGATATTAGTTAGAGTGTGGTAATTCTATTTAAACCCATTTGTTTTCTTTCACCACACCGATGTGGGATTCCAACACTCCCCCTCACGTGTAATCACATGTGAAGATCCACACATCGGCAATTGAAACTCAGAGGTCAGCTCTCGTTGGGCCCACTTGTTTTCAATGGAACTCAGAGGTCGGCTCTTTTTCAAGCTTCGTTGGCCTTTCTTTTTCTTTTTTTTAAATTTTTTTTTAAAATTTTAAGAGTCCGACTTGTTTCTCCTTCTAGCTTTGTTAACTTGTACGGGTCTTGGCTCTGATACCATGTTAAATTTTGGCAGGATGATATGTGTTTATGAAAAATGGGAATGGAGAGAATGCAGAAAGAAATTGAAAATTGCTCTGTATTTCCTTGTGTATTTCGTGTGTAAAATTCTGGTGCACTATGCACAGCCAACTCATTTTTTCTGTTAGAGGAGAGAGAGAGAGCTAGACAAGTCCTAGCCTCAATCCTCACCATCCAACTACACTATCAAAGAGATTATGACACCTGTCCAAGTTAAGTCCTATGAGACTTAACAAACTGACTTAGCCTATGAGCAAAGGCTTGATACTAAACAAAATGATTATATAATACTAAATCAGTTCACCATTTACACACCAACATGGGGCACCCAAGCAACTCCTTAAAGACCAATATGCTACCGAAAACAAGCTTCTTGTCTTCTACAACCACGGCGCTCCCAACCAACAACTCCTTAAAGACCAACATGCTGCCGAGGACAAGCTTCTCGTCTTCTACAACCACGGCTCCACCACAGCAGCCAACCAACTCCTCCATAACCCGACCCAAGTAGTTTTGTTCCTGGAGAAGGGCGTGCAGCCTGGCACAACCTTGAAATACAGCTTAGCCAAACAGGGCAACTTTCTTGCCCCGCAAGGCTGCAGAGAAAATCCCTTTCTCATCCGTCAAACTACCAGAAATCCTCAACCAGTTTTCAGTGAAGCCGGGGTCTGCCGAAGCCGGTATAGTCAAGGAAATCATTCAAACCTGTGAAGGTGAAGTCCTTAAAGGAGAAGACAGATATTGCGCCACCTCCTTGGAGTCAATGGTTGACTTCGCCATGTCCAAGCTGGGAAGAAACGTTCAAGCAATCTCCACAGAGGTCCAAAAAGGAGCCACCCTGCAGAACTACACAGTAAAGCCAGGCGTGAAGAAGATGTCCGAAGGTGACCAGCTCATTGTGTGCCATAAGATGACTGCTGTCTTCTACTGCCACACATTTGGAAAATCAAGGGCTTACGTGGTGCCTCTCCGAGGTGCGGACGGGACGAGCGCTAAAGCAGTTGCAGTCTGCCACGTGGACACATCTGAGTGGAACCCACAAAACTTTGCCCTGCAAGTGCTCAAAGTTAAACCAGGAACTGTTCCCGTCTGCCATTTTCTTCCGCAGGGCCACATTGCTTGGGTTCCAAACTAGAAACCCTAGGCTATTTGAATCCATAAGAGCTTCCACCATTGTAGAAGTTTGGAAATGGTGGACCCTTTGGGGTTCTAGTTGTAAGAAGAATCCTATAAATAAAAGAGAGAATGCCATATAAGAATTGGCTTAAATGTATGAGAGGCCTTCATTAGAAAAATTAATTAACAACAAGGCAGAAGAGGCAGAAGAACACATTAGAGTAAAAATAAACTAAAATCTTTGACAACTAGAAAATGTTGCTTAATAATATACACCAAACTTACTTCCAAACCCTAAACCAAACTTACTTCCAAACTAACAATCTAAGCTCGCTGCACCTCTACAATTTTTTTTACAGAATTTCTAAATGATGCGAGGTGAAGGCACAAATAATTGCAATTTTGCAATACTTTATTACTTTTTAGTCGTGACAACATTTTTTATAGTACAAGTGATAGTCTAAACTACATGGGAGGGGGGTTTCTCACATTGTTTAGTACAAGTGATGCATGGGAGGGGGTTTCTCATACGCACACATACAACCAAGATGTTATGGGGATTCGAACGTGAGACATCTGGTCTGCAAGTTACGGCCCTTTTCCGCTGAGAAAGACCATATTGACTACTCATGACAAAATTTAAAAAACTGTTAAACAATCACTAGACTTGTGTATATTATGAATGATATCTAATCTAATATCTATGTATGCATGCTTTCTAATATAATTAAGAAACATTAATGACTCCCCTAATTTAAGCAATGCATGATTTTTATTAGAATTCAATTTTGTTTGGGACTTATCATTAGAAACCTCAATTGTCAAAAAGCATTGCTTAACCAGAAAATGTAAAGTGACTAGAAAACATGTCCTATAGAAACTGCCTTCCACAGGGGCACAGCTACTCATAGGCCAGTAGTGGCCATGGCCTCCTTATAGTTTCAAATGCACATGTGGACAATAACATGCCACTGTATATAAATATGCACACATATTTACATTAGTGGCCCCTCCAATCATGTATATGGTATGTGAAATTTGTTAAACTTGTATAAAAATCATTTCAAAAGCTTGTTCTTTATAATTTGGCCCTTCCAAACTTAAAATCCTAACTCTGCCCCTTCGAATCATCACCTTCGAATATTTGTTGGAACACATCTTGATCAGTCTATATCTTTATTTTGATCGGCCATGGAAAGGTTGCAAAGAGCCCCATGTTCTTCCAACTTTCAATTTGACATATGGAGAGGAACTGGAAAATGAATTAAAAATCAAATGAGGCACGGCAAAACGTAAAAGATATTTAGTAATTTGACATGCTCTAGATTAGTAATCGATAATATGATTTGGCTTTGTGTTGCTACTTCTGTTCTGCTTGTAAGCACCCTATTTATAAGCACTCCATTTTTATCTCCGTATCAGAAATTAAATGCTCCACTTCAAAACATAAAATTCATGCCACTACTGCATCAAAAATCTCTGGGTACGTTGCTCTTGTTACTTAAGCCAATGCATGCTTTCCATTTTTCCAATAAAAAAAGAAGAAAACAAAAACTTCTGGCCAATGCATGCTCTCCATTTTTCCCATAAAAAAAGAAAGAACAAAATTTCAAGCTACATCATGCTCTGTGGTGTCATCAACAAGAAAAAGCTTGTTTTCCCTTATAAGCTCTTGCAAGATTTTCTAACTTTCCAAATATAGGACATTTTTCACCTTCATATATATTCTCACACTTTATAATTTGACTCTCCCAAACTTAAAATCCTAGCATTGCCCCTTCGATCATCACCTTCTAATATTCATTGGAACACATCTTGATCAGTCTATATGGATCAAGCACAACTTTAATCGGCCATGAAAAGGTCTTAAAGTTCTTCCAACTTTCAATTGACATGCAGAGGAACTGGAAAATGAATTAATAATCAAATGAGGCAAAACATAAAAGATATATACCAAGGAGTAATTTATAAGAATTTCATTTGAAGCACTCCATTTATAATATGTGTTGTTCTGCTCGTAAGCACTCCATTTATAAGAATTTCATTTTTATCTCCTTATCAGAAATTAAATGTTCTCTTAAGCATGACTTAAGCATGACAACTAAGCATGACTTAAGCATGACTACTAATGTAATATTAAATTTCAGGCCAATGCATGCTTTCCACTTTTCCCATAAAAAAAGAAGAAAACAAAAACTTCAGGCCACTGCATCTGCATGCTCTCCCTCTTTCCCATAAAAAAGAAAGAAAAACAAAATTTCAAGCCACTGGAACTCTTACACCTAATCACGACATGTATTTCAGTTGAGGTCCCTATACTATAAAGCTTGAAGTCCCTATACACCTAATCACATCATGATCTGAGTTTCTTCTTGTCAATTCCAGTAGCTTTTCTGTTGCATTCTTAAATGGAGTTCTGTTTCTCACACATAATTGCTTTTCTCACCGTAAGCTTGTGATTTAAATATTCTCTATGATTTTATTTGAACCTTATAATTATTAGTTTCAATTTTTATTTTATTTTTTTATACTAATGATAGTTCAACTTCAAATGTTGCAGCTCACACTGGTGGCAAGGGCAAGCTATGCTGCTGCTGCCAGAGACACCACCTCAACTTTACCACCTCAACTTCACTACTGGAACTCTGTCCTCCCAGGCACAACAATGCCAAAAGCTCTCAGTGAACTCGTCCAACCTGGTATGTGTTTCTATTTACATCAATGCCAAAAACTCATCTTCCAACATTTTACTAATAAGCTAGCTTTTTTCGCTAACATGTCCATTTATGTTGCTAAATAATCTGCAGACTCAGTCGAACCACCCAAGAACTTTGTCGGTTACAACCACCACGCTGTCGAGGACAGAACCCTCGTTATCTACACCAAAAATGACGATACAAACCTGAAAGACCCAACCCAAAGAATTTTCTTCTTGGAGAAGGAAATAAAATCTGGCACAACCATGAAATATAGCTTGGGTAGAAAAATAGCAGGGGAAACTTTCCTGCCCCGCAAAACTGCAGAATCGATCCCCTTCTCATCCGCCAAACTGCCAGAAATTCTCGACAAATTTTCTATGAAGCCGGGGTCTGTGGAAGCCGCTGTAATTCAGGAAACCATTCAAGATTGTGAAAGTGAAGTCCTTAGAGGAGAAGACAGATACTGCGCCACCTCCTTGGAGTCAATGGTTGACTTCGCCATGTCCAAGCTGGGAAGAAACGTTCAAGCAATCTCGACAGAGGTCGAAAAGGGAGCCACCCTGCAGAACTACACAGTAAAGCCCGGCGTGAAGAAGGTGAACGAAGGTGGCAATTTCATTTTGTGTCACAAGCTGACCTACGCTTACGCTGTCTTCTTTTGCCACACATTTGGGCAAACTAGGGCTTATGCGGTGCCTCTGCAAGGTGCTGACGGAACGACCGCTAACGCAGTAGCAATCTGCCACCTGGACACATCTGCATGGAACCCCAAGAATCATCCCTTACAAGAGGTCAAAGTTAAGCCAGGAACCGTCCCGGTTTGCCATTATCTTCCCCAGGGTCATATTGCTTGGGTTCCAAACTAGAAAGAAATATCTTACCCTTTGTCTTTGTGGTTCTAATTGTAAAAGGAATCCCATAAGAATGGGCTAGCTACTATTGTATCCGCTCTAATATAAATAAAAATCAATTAGAATGCCCTATAAAAATGTGGAGTACAGCCAGAATTTTTTTTACCGCGATTGGTTGGGGATAGCAAAACAGTGTTATTCCCATTCAAGTGTTTCTCAACTTCAGCATACGACAAGAAATTTTTTTAAGTATTGTTCTTTTTGTGTGCCAAAAGTTAGGAAGGGAAAAGGGAAAAACTCACACACACATACCACGGGAGTCTGAACTTATGACTACTTGAAAGCACACCAAAAATCTGAGTCAATCCAACTAACACCCCATTGATATTTAAATATTGTTCAGTTGACAAATATGAAAATCCTTCTAGTATATTACATGTAAGAGAACATAAATATTGGCTTATGAAGGAGCCAACGGGGTCTAGCCTTGTATTAAACTAAAAAAAAAGCTTATAAAGGAAAATAGTTCGATATAACAATTTGGGGTTTTCATGCAAAAAAAAATTGTACAGTAAAAATAAACAAAAATCTATGATAGTAAGAGCATCTACAATCATGCTCTTTATTTTTTAGTTAAAATTTAGCTAAAAACATATAAAAGCTATTTTAGGAGTATAAACTTTTAACTCCAATCATACTGTCTAGTTTAGGGAGTCATAAATGCTATAACTCTTTTTTAATTGGTCAATCTCTATTAAAAAAAATTAATATAAAAAACAGTTAGCATTAATTAAAGGTTTAAAATACTCATAAAATATAGTAGTATTAAATTATAGGGAGCCACTAGGAGTCTTTCCTCTCTCCTCAGATTTAGGAGCTCCTATAAGTCTCCCTATTTTAGGAGGTGGATAGGGAGTATGGTTGGAGTTGTATTTTTCCAATTCCTCCCTAAAATTTGTCTAAGGAGGTGATTTGGAGAGCCTATTGTGGATGCTCTTAGAGCATCCACAATGAACTCCTTAAACCACCTCCTTAGATAAAATTTAGGGAGGAAGTGAGAAAACCCACCTCCAACCATGCTCCTTATCCAACTCCTAAAATAGGGAGACCTTTAGGAGCTCGTAAATCTGAGGAGAGAGAAATGACCCTATAATTAAATGCTACTTTACTTTAATGTTATTTTAAGTATTTATTTAACGCTAACTATTTATTATTATTATTTTATATGAAGAGGTAGCATTTATGCTAAATTGAAAAATAAATAAATTATTTATGATTCCCTAAAATAGGGAGCATGGTTGGAGTTGAAATTTTATAAGGAGATCTTAAAATAGCTTTTTAGTGTTTTTAGCTAAATTTTAACTAAAAAATAAGGAGTATGATTGTGGATGTTCTAAGTGTATTATTAATGAAAACTCCTAATATAAGTAATGTGTCTTCTAATATAATTAACAAGCATTAATGAAAATTCCTAATTTAAGTGATGCATGCTTTCTATTATAATTAAATTTTGTTAGAGACTCATCATTACAAACCTAAATTGTCATAATTCAAAACCCAACTTCTTTATATGGAAATATTAACCACAAAATTTAAAGTGAAGTTCCCTGAATATATGAAATATTTATCATCATAACATTTTGAAAAGAAAAGCGGGAAATTGAGACTAGAAAACATGTCCGAGAACATTTCAGGCCTTAATAGAGGGGCCGTTTTGCGAGAAGATATGTTTATTAATAATCACAGCATGCAAATTATGTTATTTAAATCAAACAAGTTGAGAGGTACCTTGATATACACAAACCCATGGAATCGGCATGAGCCATATGACAGCAGAAGAGTTGGTCAGAACATTAAAAAAACTTAGAAAGATGAGAGATTACCCACTGAAATCGATAAGGTTACCTCATGCAGAGTGTAGTGAGACTTGCTACACAAACCCATGAATCGGCATGAACCATGATGGCAAAAGAGTGGTGAGGCTGGTTCAAGTGAAAATCGATTACGTGCATTTGAAAACCATAACAGGGGTTGGTCAGGACTTAAAAAACTTAGAAAGATTACCAAAGTACCCAGTGAAATCGATAAGCTTACCTCACGCAGTTTGTAGGGTTTTGCAACTTTGTCAGAAGGTCGATAAATTTGAGAAAGCAATCCGTGCTTAATGAGAGAGCTAAATCGAAAGAGATGAGAGTTTTGCACTGAGGAGAAAGTGAGATAGAAACTGAATTGAGAGCAAAAGAGGAAGGGGGAACCAAAAGGGAAATTAGGAGGATTGGCACGTGAAAGATTAGTAAATGCGTGTCAAGGTGGAGAAGGTCTCGACTCTTGGTGCCGCGGTTCGATCAAGTTATGCTAGGGTCTCACAAGAAAAGGGATCCTCTGGATTTGGGGTCACTACTAAAAAAACTGGTCAAAAACCACAAACTTAAGAGCACACATATAGGTATGGTGCCCTTTTCTCTAACATTGAGCACAAATAAGTTTTATTCCTGCTCTTTTTGTATAAAACACAAATAATTGTGTTAAATCAATTTACACAAAGCACAAATTTTTATTGGACACAAAGAATTGTGCCAAATGTCAATTTAATGTAAATGATAAATACCATCTGACAAATTATTCAGAAAAAGTAAGATCATTTACTTGTGTAGACACAAATAATTGTGTCTTTATCTGACAGATGTGACAACACTAAAACACAAAAACTACATTTGTGCCCTGTTATTTCTTTTTTTTTTTCTTTACACAGCCCAGTTATTTTTTTATATTCTATTAGTGTACTTTTTATCTTCAAAGTTAAAAAAGAACAAAAGAAAAAATAAATATGTTTTATTTTTAATTGATAGCAAAGTTTAAAAACACACGCCTCCCCTAAACTTTTCCAACCCTAGAAAATATCTAACCCATCCTTTCTTCTTTATTCAAGCCTTCTTTCTCCCCCCAAAAGAACTTGTTAAGAACTTCTCATCGGTTCTCTATCCTCTCTGTCTCGCTGCTGTTTGTGCCTGATAAATCTCGGCCATGAGCTGGCCAAAGGAGCCCTTTCTCTCGGCCCTGGCACTTGTTTGCAGAGGCTGAAACGCAGCGTTTCGCCAGGGTATTTCGCCTTCCTAAAAATAAAAGAAGGAAATGCTAAGGCATGATCATCTCGGCCTCAAGCATAGGCCGAGGCCGAGGCCGAACAAATTTGCGGCCAAGGCATTAAAGGCAAATCATCACGTGACAGCAGGGTCCCAGGCTTCATTTAATAAAGTAGTGCCTGTTTAATGCAGCAAACTCATTGGCCACAAAGTAGCATTTAATGCATGAGGAAAGGTGGGAAGTGACTGAAGTCAGGATTTGGTGATGAAGATCAGAGTGATTAGACGTGGACATTCTCACAAGAATTCTGACAGCTTGAGATGTTGGTTCACCAGCTATCCAGGCCATAAATGCGTCTCCACGGCCAGAGGTTCAGAACCCACGATCGAGAGCGGCGGCCGAGATTCACCGGGATTTCTGGAGTCTCACCACCATACTTCACGATCCCAAATGTCGATTGGACTGCCCACTTACGCTAATCAGACTCCACTATGCGTAAATTCAGCCTCGATTACTCATCCAGGGACTCTTCCTATAAATACAAGACTCGAGCTACATTCAAAGGGTTCAAACACCAAAACAAGCCTCCCACGGAGCAACTTCTTGTTTGTTCGTTCATTTACCCCATATATCACACGACCGTCACTCCCTGAGCAGCGCGCCGGAGCACCGCCCAAAATCCACCACCAACACCATCACTCGACGGCCTTGTAGTTCAGGCCGTGAAC